GCATTTCAGGAATCTGATTAAGTTCTTTTCTGCCAAGGGAAAAGAACCTTTGGTCTTCTGGAGGAACTTGTATATAGTGGATCTTATTCTCAATAAGTGAAATAGACTGACTTTTAGATTATTCTAGAGAATTACTGCAGTATATGCTTGCTGAATTTGTACAGATGGAAGCAGACCTGGGGTCAAAGTGTGAAACTGCACCCCAGTGTGTGAGCTGTGTTGGTCGAATCTACAAATCTCTAGGGGGAGCAAAACCTCCCTTTGCTCTATGAAGTAGTTCTTAGCCTTTTTGGGGGATCACAAACAACTTTAATAATTCAAGTTCCTTTTTCCAGAAAAGCGCACATGCTCACACACAATATTTAGTATACAATCTCAGGGGATGCACAGACCATTTGGGAATTCAGCCATTGGTTGTCTAAAGGTCCGTGGACCCAGGTTGATAACCCCTAGGCTAAGGGCTAAAGATCAATTGTTGATGGGAAAGGGGTTTAAAAAATCTCAGGACTTGCAGGAAACGGCCGGAACGAAATGTGAATGGCTGGGAAGTAGCTATCAGTTGCAGCAGGAGACATGTGGCTGACGCGCACGCCTGGCGTGCACTGAGTGGGCCGCCATCTTCCCTTCTGTAGGACGTCATGTTTTCTACTCATTCCATCACAAGATCTGATTTTACAGCGGCAGAGCTCTGACTTTAGGATGAAAATCAACACAAAATAGCTTCTTTTTTTATAACAGAAATTTGGGCTGGCTGCAGTGGCTCATGCCGCCTGTAATCCCGCACTTTGGGAGACCAAGGTGGGAGGATTGCTTGAGTCCAGGAGTTCAAGAGCAGCCAGCCTGGGCAGCCTCAATTAAAAAAAGAAGAAAGAAAAAAATAATAAAAATAATAAGAAAAGAAAAAACAAAACACTGAAATTTGCCTGACAATCACTTCAGCTGTAACAAGCCAGTTTTTTTTTTTTTTGAGTTGGAGTCTCACTCTGTTGCCCAGACTGGAGTGCAGTGGCCACTCCCGGCCTCCGCAGCCTCTACCTGCTGGATTCCGGCGATCCTTCCGCCTCAGCCTTCCGAGTAGCTGGAACTACAGGCGCGCACTACCATGCCCGGCTAATTTTTGACTTATTGTAGAGATGAGGTCTCGCCAAGTTGCCCAGGCAGGTCTCAAACCCGCGGGCTCAGGCAATCCACTCACCTCAGCCTCCCCGGGATGTTTTTTAACAGGAGGGAGAAGAGGGGTGGAGGAGGCCCTGTATAAAAGGAGCTGCTCTCTCGGCTTCCCACTTCCTTCCTGCAACCACTAGCTCTGCCCTTTCATGGGAATCTCATCCTCCTTGACTCTGACCCTCCGTTACCAGGTCTCATTTCATTCTCTTGAAGCTGGCACCTGGAAATCCTACATAATAGCTCCAGTCTTTCGAATGCCTACTGCTTATCTCATTTCGGAGGTGAATGGTGTGCATTTCTCCGCTTACATCTGATTTTGGAGTCACATCATTCCCTGGAATCCTAACGGTAGCTCAATATGCTTGATCCTTCCGATTGCTGTCTCCTATGCTCTTTTCTAACTTGAGGCAGCGTACCTCCCTCCTTCAATACTCCTTTCAGACTTCACTGATCTTTGATTTTTAAAAGTCATGTTTAAAAGTGTGACCTGAAGGATGCACCAGCTTGATAAGCACAAATTACAAACCACACTGTGATCTGTTTGCCTATCTCACCATCATCCTTGTAACAGCATTTATAAAAATGTCACATGGGCTAGGTGGCTCACACCTGTAATGCCAGCTCTTTGGAAAGCCGAGGCAGGAGGATCGCTCGAGGCCAGAAGTTCAAGACCAGCCTGGGCAACATAGCAAGATCTCGTCTCTACAAAAGAAAAAAAATTAGCCAAGTGTGGTGGTGCATGCCTGTAGTCCCAGCTACTTGTAAGGCTGAGGCAGAAAGACAGCCTGAGTCAAGAGGTTGGGGCTGTGGTGAGCCGTGATTGTGCTACTACACTGCAGCCTGGGAGACAGAGTGAGATCCTGACTTAAAAAAAAAAAAAAATTCTGCTGGAAAGTCATCTGGTCCAGGGCTTTTTTTTTTGTAGGTAATTTTCTTATGACATAGTCAATTTCCTGGATTGTAATTGGTCTATTTAGTGTTCCAATTTCTTCTTGTTTCAACCTGGGGAGGTTGTGTAATGTCAGAAAGTCCTCTATTTCCTTTAGGTTTTCAAGTTTGTTTCCATACAAGTGCACATAATAGTTTCTGATAATCTTTTGTGTTTCTTCAGGGTCAGTTGTGACTTGATCTTCTGCATTTCTGATTGTGTTTGTTGGACTTTTTCTTGTCTTGTCTTGGTCAGTCTAGCTAGGGGTCCATCAATCTTGTTTATCCTTTCAAACAAGATTGAACCAGCATTTTTGTTTTGTTGATTTTTTGTATTATATTTCTGTCTTCTTGAGAAAGATGAAACTCTCCCCAAATAATTTTATGAAGTTAACATCACACTGATACCCAGGTAAAGAGTCAACAAAGAAAGAGAACTACAGGCCAATATCCTTGATTAACGTAGATGCTAAAATTCTCAACAAGATTCTAGCAAACTGGATCCAATAGCACATCTCAAAAATCATTCACCATGACCAAGTAGGTTTCATCCCCAGAATGCAGGGCTGGTTCAACATTCACAAGACCATAAACGTAATTAAATACATCAACAGATGTAAAAACAAAAACCA